AGATCAACTACTAACTGTCTACACACACATTACATTATTGTCACGTTGTGAGCGTCTTATATATATACCAGACAAATATATATCTAGTAAATGCTAGGGCATTCACTAAGGAACATGATACTTCTAGAAAATAGGTGGCGTCAAAATAGTCACGTGATCTCGCTGACGCAACAATATGTTGTAATTAGTCCCATTAACTCCATCTAGGTAATTAAACTCCTTTTTTTTTGTCAGCTGTAAGTGTCTGAGGGCTTATCACGTTAAATCCGTTAATACCAGGGTTCATCAGTCCGATTGGAATGTCACAGAAATAATAGTAGTTTTGACGTTATTTATCAAATCAAATTGCGTAAACAAATACTGTTATGTGTAAAGTAGATTAGTAAGGGAATTGTAACTATAAATTGTTCTTAGGCCATTTGTCAATTACGGTTAGGATTTATAACAAAATACTATATTTTTGTAGCATTTATGAATATTTATTATTATTATCGTCTGTACTTGAATTAACTTTATCATTCAGAATAACTGGCGAAACAGGAAATTGAACCATTTGTTCTCAGAAAGGGAAGAAAACAACACTAAAAACATATCTGTGAAATAAAAAAGAAAATAATATTAATAATAGGCATTATTGTTTCTTTGAACTTAAGCACAAAGGTACACAGGGGGCCATCTGTGCTCTGCCCTATCGAAAACCGGTTTCTAGCGTCGTAAATCTGCAAATATGCCGCTGTACCACTGGGGGGCATATAGGCATTCTTAATTTAAAATGATGCTCTAATGAAGTATGTAACACAGTTACTGACTCATTGTTAACGTAGTACTCACATATGTAACCCAGTAACTGACTCATTGTTAATTTACAACAATACTCTAATGATGACATTAGATGGTTGTAGTACTGAAGTATGTAACACAGTTACTGACTCATTGTTAATTTACAACGATGCTCTAATGCTGACACTAGATGGTTGTAGTGCTGAAGTATGTAACGCAGTTACTGACTCATTGTTAATTTACAACAATACTCTAATGCTGACACTAGATGGTTGTAGTACTGAAGTATGTAACACAGACACTGACTCATTGTTAATTTACAACAATACTCTAATACTGACACTAGATGGTTGTAGTAATGTCAGCATTAGAGTATTGTTGTAAATTAACAATGAGTCAGTAACTGTGTTACATACTTCAGCAGATGGTTGTAGTGCTGAAGTATGTAACACAGTTACTGACTCGTTGTTAATTTACAACAATACTCTAATGCTGACATTAGATGGTTGTAGTGCTGAAGTATGTAACACAGTTACTGACTCATTGTTAATTTACAACAATATTCTAATGCTGACATTAGATGGTTGTAGTACTGATGTATGTAACACAGTTACTGACTCATTGTTAATTTATAATGATACTCTGACACGGACACTATATGGCTGAGTTGTTGAAGTAAGTAATAATATATTTATTGATACATTGATAATTCACATTGATACTCTAATGCAGGGATCAGTTGACTGAAAGTTGGGCCCGGCCCGACATGGTCAGGTGGTTAGAGCGCTCGACTAGCAATCTGAGGGTCGCGAGTTCGAATTCCCGTCCCACCAAACGTGCTCGCCCTTTCAGCCGTGGGGGCGTTATAATGTGACGGTCAATCCCACTATTCGTTGGTAAAAGAGTAGCTCAACAGTGGCGGTGGGTGGTGATGACTAGCTGCCTTCCCTCTAGTCTTACAATGCTAAATTAGGGACGGCTAGCGCAGATAGCTCTCGTGTAGCTATGCGCGAAATTTAAAACATACTGAAAGTCAATTTCAGGGAAAAAAATACCCTTAAATACGTACCACCGTGACTTCTGGTGTCAGTAAATCTGACAGTTCTTAAAGCATTGTATTGGAAGATAATTAATAATATTAATGTTGCATAACATGAATGATTTGTTAAACGTATTGCTTGAGCTCATTATAAGAACAATAAGGGTTAGATTTTCTCTTTAGGATAACTCACATGAACGTAAGTTATTTTGGACGATACTGATGACCATGATCAAGTTTCTTTCTTTCATAACAAAAAGGAATGGATGGTGGAGAATGTGTATCGCCATTTTATCTGTTGGAGTTTGTGTTGGCTTAGGGGCTTGGAATCTATGGACAACAGGTAAAAACTGAAATACTTTAATTAGTAATCATTATTGAGGTTTTGTGTTAAATGTTACTTTAAGTTAACTGCTTGAACAATGTTAGAAAATCCTTTTCTCTAACAATTTTATAAATAATCCTTCTGTTCTCTAACAATGTTACAAATAATCCTTCTGTTCTCTAACAGTGTTACAAATAATCCTTCGTTTCTCTAACATTGTTACAAATAATCCTTCTGTTCTCTAACAATCTTACAAATAATCCTTCTGTTCTCTAACAATCTTACAAATAATCCTTCGTTTCTCTAACATTGTTACAAATAATCCTTCTGTTCTCTAACAATGTTACAAATAATCCTTCTGTTCTCTAACAATGTTACAAATAATCCTTCTGTTCTCTAACAATGTTACAAATAATTCTTCTGTTATCTAACAATCTTACAAATAATACTTCTGTTCTCTAACAGTGTTACAAATAATTCTTCTGTTCTCTAACAATGTTACAAATAATCCTTCTGTTCTCTAACAGTGTTACAAATAATCCTTCTATTCTCTAACATTGTTATAAATAATCCTTCTGTTATCTAACAGTGTTACAAATAATCCTTCGTTTCTCTAACAATGTTACAAATAATCCTTCTGTTCTTTAACAGTGTTACGCTCTAGCGAAATCTAAGTAATTTACTTGAGGGCGCTTGACTCGCAATCTGAAGGTCGCGGTTTCGAATCCCTGTCCCACCAAACATGCTCGCCATTTCAGCCTCAAGGTCATTAAAATGTGACGGTCGATCCCACTATTCGTTGGTAAATGAGTAGCCCAAGAGTTGGCGGTGAGTGGTGATGACTAGCTGCCTTTCCTCTAGTCTTTAAGATAGCCCTTGTGTAGCTTTGGCCCCCAGTAGCACAGCGCTAGAAACAGGATTTCGATACCCGTGGTGGGCAGAGCAGAGATAGTCCATTGTGTAGCAATGTGCTTAATTACAGAAAAATCGTGTAGCTTTGCGCGAAATTCAAAACTAAACCAAAAAAAACAAACGAAAAAGTAACTTACTTAAACGCCTGACTGCGTTCAAAGTGAAAAGTTGAAAATGCAATAATTAAAAAAAAATACTTTTATACATTAACTAAAGGGCTATAAGACACATAGTATGGTCCACACTACAATGTTGAAAAAAATCACATCGTATGAATGAATACTGTGAATTAATTAAATCACATTTCTTTCAGCTCGAGATACGTCGCAGAAAACATTCAATTATAAAGAATCAGAAAACATATTTTTCTCCGAAACTTCTGGAAGATGCTACCTGACCACCAGAGAATCATGTAGTATTGAATCTGCAGCAAAACATAATCCAACTTCCCGGATCCGATTCATCTACACTTGTAATAACCTCAAGGAACTGATAAAAGATAAAGTTTTTCAAATAATCTATCGTATGAGAAACGTTGAGGCTGTACAACTGAACGTTCTACAAGATTTCTCAGAATTTCCCTTAGCTAAATGGTATCAGAGCGAAGACTTTGAGAAAACAAGGAATAAGCCAGTAGGTTTGTCTGATGGCTTGCGATACACGTTAATAAGAAAATTTGGTGGCACAACCATAGACACTGATTGCGTTTCACGCAAACCGCTTCCTTCCTTATCTGCTTTCGCAGGTTTCCAGTCTGGATCGGTAGTAAATGGCGCAGTAATACGAGCTCAGAAAGAAAGTCCGTTTATTATCGAATGCACGGAAAGGTTTGTCAGTGAGTACAGTCCGACCACGTGGGGCCACAATGGACCTCGCTTACTTACTCAACTCTTCAAGGAAGCTTGTAAGAGAGAAACCAAACGCTATTCCACTAACACCAAATGTTACAATGTTTATCTCTTTCCACCTGCAGCGTTTTATCCTGTTCATTTTGCTGATAGGAACTTGTTTTTTGACCCCAACGCTACTTCGCTCGTGCTGAATCTTTGGAAGGATAGTTACATGGTTCACATCTGGAACAAACTAGTTCACCGTAAGGAGTTTAAGTCCGGAGACGGGAGTCCAATGGATCATCTCTATAAGGAGAATTGTCCAGCAACTTATTCTTACATTGTGGATCGAGGTCCAGTAAACTAAATATTGATTCCACATCTACAAACAGTATGCACAAATATACCTTTGAAATGCACTTCAAAAACACCAACTTTAGTAATTCATCCTCAACTATTCTGCACCAAACAAAATGTTACCTTTCTTCAATGTAATTTGTATTTTAGGGAAAACATGCTTAATAAAAGTTGTAGGTGAATTTCTTTCACGACGATTAGGTTTTCTTGGAGGAATTAGTAAAATATTTACGAGTGTGTTTGTGTGGCCTGGTGACAGTGGAGAAGAACCCGCACGAAGCTCCCTAGGGTGAGGTGACCATATTTAGTAGAGCAAGTTTAGGAATACTGATGTCAGTGGAGAAGAACCCGCACGAAGCTCCCTAGGGTGAGGTGACCATATTTAGTAGAGCAAGTTTAGGAATACTGTTGTCAGTGAAGAAGAACCCGCACGAAGCTCCCTAGGGTGAGGTGACCATATTTAGTAGAGCAAGTTTAGGAATACTGACGTCAGTGGAGAAGGGAGCTTCGTGCGGGTTTTAGGGTGAGATGACCATATTTAGTAGAGCAAGTTTAGGAATACTGATGTCAGTGGAGAAGAACCCGCACGAAGCTCCTTAGGGTGAGTGACCATATTTAGTAGAGCAAGTTTAGGAATAATGATGTCAGTGGAGAAGAACCCGCACGAAGCTCCCTAGTAGTAATACTTTATTATCACTGGCACTGGGATATCTTACTGGTGATATTCTTGTATCAATCACGTTGTGATATCTTACTGGTGATATTCTAGTATCAATCACGTTCTGATATCTTACTGCTGATATTCTAGTATCAATCACGTTGTGATATCTTACTGGTGATATTCTAGTATCAATCACGTTGTGATATCTTGCTGGTAATATTCTAGTATCAATCACGTTGTGATAACTTATTGGTAATATTCTAGTATCAATCATGTTGTGATATATTGCTGGTAATATTCTAGTATCAATCACGTTGTGATAACTTACTGGTAATATTCTAGTATCAATCACGTTGTGATATCTTGCTGGTAATATTCTAGTATCAATCACGTTGTGATAACTTACTGGTAATTTTCTAGTATCAATCACGTTGTGATATCTTGCTGGTAATATTGTAATATCAATCACGTTGTGATATCTTGCTGGTAATATTCTAGTATCAGGGACACTTTGATGATAATATTTGCTACTAAAACTATTTCATGGGTCCCATTTCAGGTTAATGTATATACAGCAGAGACGACTGATATCAGGTTAACAGTGTTGATGACCTATGGAGGTCGAAACGTTTTTACTTGTGTTGTGTTTTTAAATAAATAGCTATTAATATCCGTCTCTACTATATATGTTTTATTGGTTTGAATTTAAACCGTTCTATATTCATGTTTTTACTTCACATTCGGTTGTTTTATAAATTAATTATCAAATGTAGAGAACTTGGAGCCAACAGAACAGTAAGTCTAAAATATCACATAATTATTTAATATGGATGACCAGTTGGTATAAGTTAAGGTATAACATTTATTTCATCTAATAAAACTCAGTCTAGTTTGGAGTTTAGTTGCTATTTTCGTTTAAACTCAGGTGGTTGGTCCAGTCAGCAACCATTATCCTATCTATCAACAGAAAACTGTTGTTCTAACAATTATTCACTTTACGATCATGAACTCTGTCAGTTTTCTGTTGATAGCTAGGATAATTATTGTTCACATTTCTTACAATACCACTGATCTTAGCTTGTGTTTGTTTTATATGTCTTGTGCTTTA